TTCGTTTTCGAAAACGGGAAAGAGAACACGTTTTCACCGTTTTGAAAAATCGAAAACAGAAAACGGCCCGAAAACGGGAAAGAGAACAGGGCCTAATTTTTTCTTGGCATTCAGTGCACTGGTGATTGCTCGACGCCACCATTGAGAGGTGTATCGACTAGGAATAGATTTGGTTGATGTAACGAATGCAAATAATATGGAGATGAAACATTTGTAAGGGATTTTTGGGCATCCAAAATTGGAGTTGCTTCGGCCATGGCAGGAGCAGTTATGGCGTTTGAAAACATAACGCTCTAATACCATGATAAATTCTAGAGTTTGATATGGAATGAATAAACTTTTCACTAATTAATTGAAGAATACAAACATGTATTTATATACAATGGAAGACATACCTATGTTTGGTAAATAACTAATCTAGGAAAGGAAATAATTTCAATATTTGAAACATAGTACGAAAATCCCTGTGATTATATTCAATAGGTATTCATGATGGATGATCAAAGTAACGATCAGTTTGTCTCACAAAAATGACTTCCATTGAGATGAAAAATAAACTACCATTGAGATGAAAAATAAACTAAGTCAGAATAAACTAAAAAATAATCACGAGCAAAAGAAACCAAGTTACAAAAATATGTGAAAAATGTTTTTTTTTCTTCTTGTTTAATCCTTGGGATATATTTAGTAATATACCTTGAGCTCCCTCCAGATCCACTTTGCACCCGGCAATCCCTGTGGTTCACTCACACACACACACACACCAAAAAAAAACCCCCCCCCCCCCCCACACACCAAAAAAAAAAAAAAACAAAACACAAAAAACAAAAAAAAACAAAGAACCAGATCCACCTCAAACACATATAGCATTTTAAATTTCTGAAAAAATAAAAATAAATAAATTCAAAAACGATGCCCATCAAATCAATTCCACAAGAACCTGCGTACATAGACTATGAGTGTGAAATTTTACCATAGAAAATTTTGATTCTCCTGTTGGGTTTTGGTAGATGGGGCGATCTGAGGAGAAGGAATATAAGCCAATACTATTTTTTTACATTTTGAATGCTGGAATTGTAATCTAGAATTAAAAGGAAATCTATTTATTCCCTAACCCTATATTCACCTTTAGTGCTGGAGGAGGCTACGTAAGAACCGTCACTTGAATTCCTTCTTCCATTTTCAACATTTTGTTCTCTTGGCAAACTCAATGATTGTTCATCAAAATCCAATGATATCGAAATGGAACTGAAGCTTGTGCTTCTGGAATCGGCAAGGGCCACTTCCCTATCCTGCTCTCGCCGCAGCACAGCTCCCACCAACCTCTCCCAGTTGTCGTAATTCCTAGACATCTCTGTTTCAGCTTCAACAACTTCAAATACACACAAAGTACAACTATGGGGGGCAACCCCAGCCAAGTTGGTCGGGCAGTCGGACTAGCAATCGTGAGGTTGCTAGTTCGATTCCCGTTAGAGCTGCCTGTTGGCCTTCTTGGTTTGAGCAGGTCAGCTATGAGTAACCTAGGCTGGTTTACCTCCTCGTGGTCCTTTGCCGGCTAGGATCACAAGACGGGGTTTACCTAGTACGCACCTTTGGGTAGCGGCTGCAGGTCCCCTTGTTAAAAAAAAAAAAAAAGAAAAGGACAACTATGGATCTTTATTGCCTGTGCACATGCAAAATTTATAAAAGTGCAGACACATTTTTCACATTCCAAACACGGAACAAGAAGAATCTTTTCGTAATCTTTTGGTTTATATAGTTCCGGAAAACAAATTATAAACGCTGTGGTGCAGCACACAATATACAGCTTAGACAGACAATTTCCCAGAAACCACGCCCACAATTTCTTATTTGAAAGTAAAAGTAAGATATGTTGGGTTTATGACCCAAATTAGGAAAAAAAATTGTTTCTTCATTTTCACGTGGAGAAATTTGTTTTCTTAGTTTCCCGTGATTTTATTGGAAATATATTATTTCCTTATTTAACATTATTTTCATTTTTATGGTATGATATGTACCTATAAATAGTGACATCTTCTTTCATTTTAGTTCAAGCAAAAATTCCTATGTTGTAATTTTCTCACCATATTGTTATAATAAAACATTGTTTCCTCCGCTTAAAATCTCTTTGATTTCTTTACTTTAAATATTGTTTAATCTTTACTTTAAATATTGTTTAAATATTGTCATTAATCTCAATCATTGCATCACCTTTGGGATCAACAAGATATTAGTGTGGAGAAATCAATATATATTCTTTGTCTTGATACTAATAGAACAATATAGTTGATGTATGAGTAAATAATAAATTAGAGCGTCTTAGTCTGGACAAGCGATACAAAGAAATTTCAAAGTCATTTTCACGTGAAATAAAATTTCTTTGTGTTAATCTCTTCATTTGATAAAAAGTAAAAAACCATCTCAATTACAAATCAAATTTTCTCGTTTAAGCCACTAAAATGAGAATATTTTCATAATCTTGGATTATATCGTTCCATAACTAAAAATATATCCAGCACTCAATTTACAGCTTAGAAAAACAATATGGCTATGTCCGACCTCCATTTTTTGTATTAAATAATTAAAAAAAAATGAATATGGTTTTGTAATAGTGAATGTTTGAAAATGTTGTTAAAAAGTAGGAAAATATTTTTGGTTTACATGCAAATTATTTTATTGAAAGATTGTTTGGATGACTGTTTTGAAAAAAAAAAAAAAGTAAATTATATATCCTAATTCTCTCTCTCTCTCTCCCCCCTCCCTCTCTCTCTCCTATATATA